GATGTATTTGACATCTTAAGTATTGGGAACTTAGTCCCTAGAGGAGTATTGTTGAGAGATGAGCTTAATAAAAGGTTAATTATGTGGTAGATTTGCCCTCAGAATGGATTTTCCATGATCAGGGAGCAAAGTAATAAGATATTGAAAGTATTACAAAAGTGAATCTATTCTGTTCTCTAACATACTCTCTCACCTTGTAATACTGTCTGCTAGGATTTGGTCCCAAGGGGGGATCCATATGAGGGGGAATGGCTAGTCTTTAAAAGTTATCTACTCTGTGATATTTTAATGTGTCTGTATAAACTAGGCTGGGCCAGAAGGGCAACTTTAAAATTTAGAGATGAACCATTTAAAGACCATTTGGTCTTTCTTGACCAAAGGGGAGAAATTATTCTTTTATAAGAAGTTGCTCCTTACCTTTCATTCTTTATAAGAAGTAGTGGGGCCTGAAGCTAGAGGTCAAGATGCCTTCAGACAGATTGAAGAAAGACCTGTAAATGTAACTCCAACACTTGGTACTTTTCTCTGCTCTGTAAAGCATGTGCGAGAAAGTTTCATGCTCTGGCCAAGTGTACCCTCACTGGAGCAGATGCTTGTCCAATTGGATCATAAGTCTCATTCAACACAGTAATTATAGACATGAGATTTGGGCTGAAAAGCAAAATTCTGGGTTTCCCATTTAGAATGAGTCACATTAAAAGTATTTTTATTAGCATCCCTAAAAACCACAGCATACCTTCAGATATTATTAATTGCAAATGTATATAAGCCTTAAAAATATTCTCTACTGTGGCTTCTAATATACTAGAGACTAAAAATAGTGGACTAATAGGTTAAATTTCTGCAAAAAGCCTCCAAGATTTGAAAGATTTATATAAGTTTCAATTCAAGTCTGGGAGTTAGTATTGAGCAATTAAGAGACCAGCTTGGAATGACTGAAAAACCATGATACCTATTTAGACTCACACATTTCATCCCCATTTCCCAAGAGAGTAGATGTATGTTGAGGCTCTGTGAGTATTGTACCAAAGTCCATTAGCATTTACTGTTTGTAGAAAGAGAAAACAGAGAACAGGTCTACAGGTTCCAACTTCATCATGTGTAACACTTTCCTGACACAGTTCCTGTGCGTGGAGACAGTTGGCTGTACTTTACCTTGTTCCAGAAGAAGTCAACACAGCCTACAAAGTCACATAAATTAAGACTCTGAGCAAAATAAGCAAGAAATAAGGGTGTATGTGAAAATGGAGCCAGAAATGATGCTTAAAAATGCACATCGTAACCTATACACTCAATGTAGGTGGAGATAAATTTGGCACTGGTTTTCTAGGAATCTGACAAGAAAGAGAGACCTGGTTACAGTGCTACAGAGATAAACACAGTTGCTCAAATAACCAGTCAGAACAGTTTTGGAGAGAAAAACAGTCAGAGGCTTTCTGTAGTGCTACAATAATGAGAACGTATATGGTTCAATAAGCAACATCTAGCAACACAGGCCACATTGTGAGCAGTCCAACTTTGTCAGATCTGCAAAAGTCTGAGATTTTTGCCATATGCACAAGTAAGCACTCGTTTGCTCATGGGTGCTGGCATGAGATGCAAGATTCCTGGGTTAAAGACAAAGGCCAGCATATTACTCATAGCAATAGCAATAGCTGGAATATTGTTTTCATCAGAGCTTAGACTCCCAGTCTCTCTAGAGCAACACAAATAATAGCTGATACCTGTATGTGATGTGGGTAATATTACAGAACAGGAACAAATCTTTTAAGCTAGGAGATGACATGTATTCTGTTTGCTCTGTAATAGCATAGTCCTGTCTTCCAAAGCTATTGCAGTGTACTTTTTTGAAGAGGTAGTCTAATATAGGGAGTTGGTGCCTCTGCTCATAAAATCTTCAGAAACAAGAAGTTCCTCAGAGAACTGACTTCTAACAACTGCATTTTAAGTTGTATTCCAGGGCTCTCTGTATTAACCTAGGACTAACTGTAAGAGAATTCGTAGGAATCTGTAGATTGTATGACCTTTGACATTTGCTTTGCATGTCCCCATTCCATTCTTTTACATAGTGAGGATGGTGATCAACAAGACACAGGTGACCTATATTTTCAGCAAAACTATAGGTAATTATGACATTTTGTGTTTCTCAAATAGCTCTTCCTCAAGAAAGATTCTTTTGACTTATTTTTTCATGAATATTAGTGACAACGAGTTTGGTAGTCTCCTACAAGTATCTGGAGTTTTTGGTATTTCACCACTTTCAAATAAGACAGAGTCTTAAACAGTCGTCCTTTAGTGAAGATGGAGAAACCAATGGAGTCACACAAATAATTTCAAAGTCATCTCTACTGGTCCAAGGTCAGGTTCAATTTTTCCTTAAGGATAGCCTAAAACGTTCCTATGATTATGTGATCCAAACCCCAAGGCCTTACTCATGTGAGAAAGGATGTGTTCATCTTGTTTGTATTGGTACTCTAAAGGCAGAAAAATTTCTAGTCATTAGAAGATGAAATGTCCTATGTGTGAGGTCCCTTCTTCAAGTCACTTTCCCTCCCTGGCCTGAGCCTTATATGTCAGTATGTCTGTTGAATGCTTGTTTGTCCTACTAGCTAGTATATCTTTTCCTGACAAAATATTAGAAGCTGACTTGATTTAATTAGTCTCCAGTTGGTTCCACGCAGCAAATAATACCTTCTAACATTGACTGGGTTTCATCTGCTCGCCAGACAGAGTCTTAATCTTGAATTCCATTACCTAAGGCTCTCACCAGCCTCACAGTGTTTTGAATGAAGGGCTTTCTTTACAATATTTCTGCTAGGTTTGTTTCCTTCGAAATCTGTCCTTTCTTCTAATACTGTGGCCTTGCTGGTATAGTCTATGGCTATAGACACAGAGCCTGGAAGGGTGACTCTGAACTCAGGTTTGAGAGCACTGCCTGTTCAAGCATAAAAACAGAGCTGAGAAAGACATGTTAAATACCTCACCCCCTCCCAAGGCCAGTGCCAGAACATTCCTATGGTGAGGGCGCAGGCTGCCAGAAACAGATGCCCCGAACCTGTGCATCCTCTCACTTTACTTTATTTGAAAGATGTATTCTCATTCTCTCTGTCTCTCTCTGTGTCTCTGTCTCTGTCTCTGTCTCTCTCTCTCTCTCTCTCTCTCTCTCTCTCTCTCTCTCTCTCTCTTTGGTAAGCTACCCCATCATGCTTCATTTGACTGATTTCACTCTTCTTCCCTCAGACTGATTTTGGCTTAGCTATAGCAACTGTTGAGAACGACTATCCCCAAAGACTCCATATAAACACAAACAGCAGTCACTCAGAGGACGGTGTGAACCCAGAAGTCCCTTCAGTGTACTTGTATTTGGGGCAATGTGATGTTGCAGAAAAAGGCACACAAAGGGACTTTACAGATAAACACTGTCATTGTGATTCTTCTTAATTAAGGGCTTTGCTGTTGTTGCTGTTTATTATTGCTTGCAGTAACTGCCATCATGTGTGCTTTCTGTATGCCAGATACCATGGGAAATAAAAACAAATGCTGCTGTCGAATTTACAAATCTGGTGCTGTCCTTTCTTTTCTTTTTTTTTTTTTTTTTTGCATGTAGGTGTGCCTATGTGTTTGTATGTATGTGCACAAGTGCATGGATATTCTTTTATACCTGTATGTGTAAGTGCCTCTGAAGGTCAGAGGCTGAAATTCAGTATCTTCTACAGGTGATCTCTCCCTTGGTTTTTGAGACAAGGTGTTTTGATGAATCCTGACCTTAGTGAGGCTGGCTACACAGTAAGTTTCAGGGTTCCTCTTACCTCTGTCTCTCCAGTGCTGGTCCTAGTGCACGATGTGGTGCTTGGCTCTTTATGAGGATAGTAGGATCTGAACTCTGATCCTCGTGCTTGAATAGCAAGCCGTATTCCTGGTCCTCGTCCTTACTTTAGAATCTGAAGCTTAGTAAGGTTGACTAGACGGCTATGGTCCAATGGCCTACTTAAAATCCTGCTGTTGCTTCTTTCTGCCATGATATTGGGTCTTTTCCTTCACCTCCCTTTGGTCAAAAATGAAAGTGATTGCAATGCCTTTCTCATAGATGAATTGAAGTATGTTGTCTTAGTAATGTGTAAATTGCTTAGATCAATGTCTGTCATGAAGCAAGCTCTGTAACATAAAGAGTATTGACAACATAGCAATGAAATGTGTTCAAAGCAGTTCAGTGGGAACTAAATGTCAGTCCCAGTGGCTCTGCTACAATGGCTGTCTATATTATTATTCGGTACACTCTATCTGCTTGGTTGGGCTACCTCTTCTCTCTACAACTCAGCTTTTCTTACTAGTAAAGTGGAGATGGATCATACCATTGCCCCAACACAACCACTATGCCAAAGGTTGATGCAGAGGCTAGCCCAGTGTGGGGTGAGGTAATGTGCTACCTTCTGTCTCTACATCCATACCTATGGAATATGTGGATATACATAATACATATATGTGTGCATTTGTATGTGTGTGTATATATGTACACAGTGTATAACTGCATAGCTTAGGACTCTCTTGAAGTTCCTTGAAACATTATAGCTTCAGAATAGTTCAAAGTATATTTTTATGAATTTATTCCCATTTAAAGGAAGGATTGGATTGGTTTCCTGGCTAATTAAAAACAATTTTCTTCTTAATAAAATTTCATTTTATATTTTACTGTTTTGATGGGTTTAAGAGTGCCTTTTTATTCTTTAAACTAGTTCATCAAATGTTTCCAAGTTTCCTGAGTAGTTCTTTCAGGAATACAGATTGGTCACAATTTCACTTCTTCTGCTGAGGGGAAAGAGAAGAGGCAGGCAGTTGCAGCGGTGCAGAGGGAAATGTGATGATATGTTTTTGCTGTTGTGCCTACTTTTTTTTTTGAGTGTGTGGGAAAGGGTGTGATGTCATCTTGTCTCCACCCCCTGTGAGTAAGCCCACAGCAGAGCTCAGAGCAGCCTCCCGCCTCTGTCAGTGGAGAACGTCCACTTAAATGCAGTTCCAGGCTTGCAAGGCACCCAGCCGCAGCACTCCCCGTGTGAGCAGGCAAATGCAACATGCTCTCCAGCCTGGGGTGTCTACTTCTCTGTGGAAGTATTGCACTTGCTCTGGGAAATGCACAGAAATTGCCAAAAGGCAAGTAGCTGGGATGTTTTGTGTTTTAAAAGAAAGATTAAGAGTTGCTTGGTTTTAGCTGTTGATATGAAATGTGATGTGCTGTACAATATGGGGGAGTTGAATTACTCTTCAGAGAGTCAAAGGTTGTATGTGTAAAGGAGTGACTCAGGTGTTGTTTTCTCTTGCACCCCTGTTATTGACTTTGTGAGCTCAGCTTCTCCTAACAGCTTCTAATGGAGTATGCTCACACGAACTGACATGGTGTAGTTGTCTATCAAATCAGATTATATAAACGACTGTTGTAGTATGTTAGAGCTATTTGGTGCCTTTCACCCTGTCCACAGGGACAATGGAGAGCGACTTAAGCTCTGGGAGTAGCTCGTTCTGCAAACTGGAATCTTTTGCAGAAGTCTCAAACATACCTGTGGGGTAAGGGCTGAGGGAGTCTAGCCAGGTCAGCCTTAACTACAGTTTCGAGCTAAGTAGCAGACGGGGCTCTCCAGTGGAGTTTGGCAGAGAATTTGATTTGCTGGACAGGACACTCCCCTTTCTCTTGATTAAATTGCTTATTTTGGTGTTGGTATTTTGTTTACAAAAGTCATCAAAAGAGAAGTAAATTTTCTAAGTTTAGACCCTAGAAGTAATCTTTGGAACTCATTAGCACTAAATCAGGGGCTTCTTCCTTGTCCTGTCTGTGAACATAAATGTTGTGTGGACGTTTGCTTTTTCACAGAGGCACTTTTGGTCTGTGGAGGCTTTTTATGGCTACAGACTGCTGTAGTCAGCAGGATTGAAAAAAAAAAAACACAGGCTGGAATTTACCGTACAGTTATGCTGAAAAATCTTAGAGGTAACACACAGCACACAGACTCATCAAAACTGAATCTGAAAGAAATGTTGGCCAGAATGCTGAAAAGGACACTTCTGTGTCCCCTCTCTGTAGAGTTCGGTTTAGGATCGTCTTGTCTCAAATGCAAAGCCTCCCACCCCCGCTGGGTAAAGTGAAACTTGAATCCAGAAGGCTGAAGCATTTGTCTAGCTCACACCAGGATGGGAACTGTAGCAAAAGGCAAAGGAAACCTCAATTCTGATCAAATGATTATACAAAGAAACTAAGTATCAAACACCCTTAGGTTTTCCTTCTTCCACAAGTTTTATTCCTTGATCATAATAAACTGTGACTTAATCCATAATTAATTGTTCACAGTGATGTAACTTTTAACAACTTTGAAAGGAACCAGTAGCATTTTTTAGTTTCAAACTTACGGGTTGTTTTTGTTTCCTCTGTATTTACTGTGTAAGGATGAAAGACAAATTTGATTACTACAGAGTTATGTAAAATATAAGTGCCTAAATTTTCCTGTTGTCATCATTATTTATAGAACTTTTGGTACAAGTTGCCTTTCTTTGTAATGATAAAGAAGAATATATAGTTGTCAATACTTGGTACAAAACTTTTATATCTCTTCTTTTGCCAACCAATGGTTTTCATCCAGGTTTCTTTTGTAATATTTTAACAATCTATAGTTTTGGTTAGTTTGAACAAAATACCAAATTATAACTATTATAAAATAAATGGTGAATTTCTTTGTTTTTTTTTCCTTAAAAGCAATTGAAGAAATTTCTTTAAGTTGGTCACCTTTGTTAATGTGTGCTCCAGAATGCCCTAGAATAGATAAGTGGAGGAAGAATGGCAGATGCTTCCCTCAATGACTACCAGAGCTTCTCATGCTGTTTTATTGGAGTGTGTGTGTGTGTGTGGGGGGGGGGGTAGCGTGAATTCTACAATGGATGTTACCATTCTACATTATCTAAGTATTTCTCAAGATTTTTTGAGAAAAGTATCCAGCTTTTTAACCCATTGTTTTCCAATCCCATTTGAATGATAATCCCCTTTCTAGTTGGGCAGTTATGATATCTTTCCAGATGCTCTGTAACAGATCATGTTTGAAAAAGTGCTGGAATAAATAGGTTCTTCCTTACAGCTTTAGAGTTTAATACCATCTGTGAGTTATGAAGAATATAGAAGTTAAGAGCCAGAGATTAATGATGGCTGAACATAGTCCATCCCAGACAGTTAGCATTTGCGTTTGTGGACCAGTAAAAATGCATGCAGGTTTGAATAACAGGGTTCTATTAATAGGAGTCACACTTTGGCCTTGTAAGGATGCTTGAAGCTAGCAAGAAATCCTTGCTGTTTAGGAAATCAAGTCACTTTCATCAGTTTAAAAAAATAAGTGCATTTAATTAGACAAATAACTCAGTCTATTGTTCATCTTTTTTTCTCATTTTATTAAAGAGTGATTAAAAACTCCCTCACAGGACAATATTTGGAAAACACTGGCCTATCTTAATTGTTTATATAAATGGAGACACACACCAAAGGGGAAATTTAGTAACTTTCCCATGTTAATGGCAGAGCCAGGACCAAATACCAATCTTGCTTCCTTCTGGGCAAACAGAACCCCTGACTATGAATCAGGTCTGTAGCACACATGGGAAAGCTACCTTCCCTTGGATCATACCCTTCCTCACACAGATGGAGGGAACCAAACTACAGCACCCTTAAAATTATCCTGCAGCATTTCCTAAAAATATACCATCATTTTATATATTAGTATTATATATTTTACATTTGCCATTGTTGTACATAAACATATACATTTATTTGGTTATTTATAAGAACTCACTTGTTACAAGTCATAAGACTGTTTGCATACTTAATTATGTATATTATTCTAAAAATAGGTTGTTAGAAAATTTTTGTTCTTAAAAGTTCAAAGACTATTAGTAATGTGTCTCTTCTTGCTGTCATACGTTAATGACTGTATTCTTTGGTAATTTATTTATTTGCAACCCGGGTCCATACTCTAAGAACCATGTGCATAGAAAGCAAGGTGACATGTTCTTGGTGGAGAGGTGATAGGACTGCTAAGCACTGTTCATATGATGACAGTGGGGAGCTATCTACTGCCTCGTGTCCTGACCATCCTTGGTGCATAGGACAGACAGATGTGACCGTCCACAGGAAGTTGTGCCTCTGCTCCTCCAGCCAGTGCTCCACTGCCCTGAACGCCACTGGCTTTGCTGGTGAGATTTACTTGAACTTATTTTTAAAATTTATTTCTTTTATTTTTTCGATCTTGGTTTTTTTTTCCCCCAGGAGTAAAATTAAACTATGACCCTTAGACACTGGAGAAAACTGCCACATTGCTTTGTGCCATTGGAAGCCCCTGTGCTCCAGCTACTTCTGGGTCTTTATGTTGGCCACTATAGATTTTTTTTTGTCTCCCCTGGCACACTTGCTAAAATTAAAACCACAGAGTACAACATGGTGTGAAGAAAGCCAACACAATCTTATAAAGGGATGCCAGAGGCTTGACAAGCCTCCGTGCTGAAACTCCTGTGTATGGAAGAAAGTCGTATTTAGCCTGACAGTGCTAGCTTTACTAGGCAGCACTCCTACTGAAGTATGCACGAGGAAAGTCACAGAGGAGTGTTCGAGGTATGGATGTGACAACAGAACTAGGGAACATAGAAGTCCTGAGTACATGGGAGACGGTGAGCAACTGGCGCTTTGCCTTCAGTTCTTACTCAAAAGAGGAGAAATCCTTGACAAAATGCACACAGGCCAGTTGGAAAGATGACTCAGCAGTTAAGAACACATCCTCTTTTTGCAGAGGACCTGAGTTCACTTCCCATTACCAGTCTGAGCAGCTCACATCTGCTGTATAAAAACCTAAAACTCCAGCTCTAGAGGATCCAAAGCCTTCCTTTGGCCTCCATAGATACCAATACACACGGTCATATACATAAGTAGACTTTGACTTCCTTCCCTCTCATTTAAAAACAAAACATCTTTTTTAAAAAGTAGACAGATAAATAACAATAATCAGAGCTATTAACTGCTACCTATTATTCTCGTGGGTAGTATTTTTCTAGTGAGTAATGTGGTAATTTAATGTTATATATTTTTGATGCAGAAAATCTAAATTCTAAGCACTTGTATGAAGCAGGCATCTTGTTACTCTTATTTTATAAAGTATCAGATTATGCCTCCAGGTGTTTAAATAATTTGCTCCAAGTCATTTATCCAGACAAAGATCCTAGTCTTAACTTCAACATAGTGACAGCTCCCTGACCCCTATAAAGAAACACTACTTTGTTCAAATAAAAAGCAATGCGCCATGTCCAGAGCATGGAGACCGAGAAGACAAAGCATGGACACGTCTTCTGTAGCTGACTTGTTAGTGGGGTTGATGAGAGAGAAGAGGTAATTTTGGCACATAGAGATCTTCCTCCTTTTGCACATAGCCCCTAGGCTGTGAGGACAGCTTGAGGGACTTAATCCAGACCAGAGGACTCAAGCATTTTAAGAGACACCCAGGACAGGGCTGAGAGACAAGCATATTTGGGGACAAGGAAGAGTTTGGCTTAGAGATGAGGATATCTTCTTTCTTAGCTTCTAGTGAACTCACCTTGGGGCTGGCTCTCACTTTTCACAGTGCTCTTCTGAACAAAAGGATTCAATAAAAGAATATGTCACTCAGAAAGCCTGGTCTGTCTCTCCAAGGGACAGATGATATTTGCAAAGCAGTGGGAAAATGGGAAGGTTAACACCCAGTGCTCAGAGGGCTGATTTTATTTTGTTGTTGTTTTCAAGACAGGGTCTCTTTGTGTAGTCCTGGCTGTCCTGGCACTTGATCTGTAGACCATGCTGACCTAGAACTCAGAGATCTACCTGTCTCTGCCTCCTGAGTGCTAGGATTAAAGGTATGTTCCACCATTGGCTAAGGGCTGATTTTGCTAGAATAATGTATTTGTGCACTTCTGGGACAGTATTAAACAGTACATAGGAAGAAACTATTCAGTTTTTAAAAGGTTGTAAAATCATAGTTGAGACTAAGTTTAGAAACCAATGTCTTAAATTAAATTTTGCTGGTGTTGATTATTCAATCATTAGTTATATATTCAATAGATTGCTCTATTGGGCTATGAGATACAAAGTATTAAGGAAT